GGACATGTCGGCGCAGTCGCTGCTGCACTCGTAGGAACGGCCCTGGAAGTTCCTGTCCTCGTAGAAGACGATCTGGAGACGGCAAACAGTTTAGTGACGATGCAAGTTTTTACACCTTTACAGTTTGTTTTAGTTCTTTAAAGATCTGATCTAAACTGATGTTTGGTTGTCTTTAAAGATATAAAAACCTAAATACTCCTGACTGCAGAGTTGTAACGTAACTAAGTATAGATACTTCTTTACTGTACTTAAGAAGAATTTTTGGGTATCTGTACTTTACTTGAGTAATTATTTTTCAGCCTACTTTTTACTTCTACTCTTTACATTTTTTTTAAAAAAGACAAGAAGTATAAAGTCCTCAGATAGATTTTCATTTTGGGGAAAAGCTTTGTGCAGCCTTGATATATGTATATAAACTGAAACAGCTGGACTAGTGCATCCTAAATTTAACATCCATTCATTCTTTTAATACAACAGTCATTTCTGCAGTTTTTGGGGAGGTCACCTCCTAATAAATGTCCTTACAGAAAATCTAATGCTACGTTCACACCCAACGCGTTTTGAGCGGCAGGAGCAGCCGGTTTACATGCAAAGTCTGTGAGGACGCGCCTCTAGGGGTCGTGCGTCGCATCACGTACGTTTTTATGTGGCGCGCAAAGAAGGCGGAAAGGGAGGCAGAGCATTTTGTGCGCATGCCGTGCTGCGGAAGCAGCTGCCGCCAGAGTTCAAAAATCTGAACTTTGGCTGCTTGACGCGTCTTGACGACCAATCAGAGAGACTCATTTATCCACGGGACAGTTTCCTGAATGTTGCCCACTAAACCGAAACAGACTAACAGGAGATCTTTATCTGAAATCAACCATCTGCAGTTGGGTTTTCTGGCTGGATATTTCAGYACCGATGTGGGTCAGCTACTCAGGACAAAACAAACAAACAAACAAAAAAAGGTCCATCAGCTGTCAGCTTCTGGAGTGACGAAACTAACCGAACAAATCGCCTCTAAATCATCTGGTGAGTTAATTATCTGCTGTGCGCAACGTTAGCTTGTTTAGTAGTAAATAAATCAAAGCCATTTTCTTTTATTTTATCTTTATTTCACAAGCCGAGGAGACGCTCCTCCCACACCCTGCCGCTGCCTCTGCAGCCGCTGCAGCCGCTTCCGCTTCTCATTCGGTCTGAACATAGTGCGTCCAACAAGAGCCGTTTTGCAGTTTTTGGCCGCTCAAAACGCATTCGGTGTGAACGTACCATAACTGCTCATTTTAAATCAACACTTTTACTTTTAAGACTTAAGTACAAAAAATATCAGATGACTTAAGTTTTACTCAAGTAATATTACTAAAGGAGACTTTAACTTTTATCCAAGTAAGTTGTTGGTAAGATACTTGTACTTTTACTCAAGTATCACTTTGTGAAACTTTATACAACTCTGCTTTTAGCAAGTGTTTTGATAACTTTTAGCTTTTGGCTAGCATTTTGCCACTTTTAATTATAGCTATTTAGCTTCTTTTATCAAAAATTTTGCTACGTTAGCTTTTTAACTAGAGTTTTGCTCCTAAAGCTTTTACAGCTGTGTCTGACAGTCTTTAGCTGATGGACTCTAGTAGTCCTGGACCCCATGTGGACCCCTGAACCTCCTGGACCTGGACTGCGGTCCCTCACCGGGGCAGAGAGGTGACCTTGCCCCACTTCTCCACACAGAAGCGGCGGGGTCCGTTGCTGCCGCGCAGCGAGGCGAAGCCCTCGTAGGGGATGCTGGAGGTCCCGGTCACAAACTGAGGAGGAGTCGGGGACAGGATCAGAACCGGGACTCTGGGTGGGTTTGGACCCACAGTGTAACAGAATGAGGTCTCACCTGCAGGAGGCGCAGTCTCTGCTCGTTGTTGAACCTCTCCACCGCCGCCCAGAACCAGCGGATCACGATGTGGTTGTCATGATAACCTGAACAGAAGGATGAACACATGTTAGTCCGTTGGGGGTGGGGTCARGTCTTCCTGGTCCGGTCCACACCTCCTCTGTACTCGGTGTTGTTCCTCCAGTCCGACAGGTCGATCTCAGCCGTGCCGGCTATCACCAGCTCCAGCTCYCGGGCGTCGAACACCGACACCAGCCTGGCGTCCACCACCTGGAACCAGAACCCAACCTTAGGTCCCTGTAAAGATTTAGACTCTACAAGTACCGTGTTCTGATCCGGACCTCGTAGAACCCTCGGACCAGGCTCTCAGTCTGCTGAACCACTCCTCTCTCTATCCTCCACTTCACCATGCGCTCGATGTATTCCTTCTTGTTCTTCTCAGAGACCGGGATGTTCCCCCCGCCGGGCTTCAGCTCCCGCTCTGTGATCTGCAGAGAACCAGCGTCAGTGTTCACATCTACGAGACGCAAACAAAACTAACTCTACACAGGTTAACCAAACTAACTCTACACAGGTTAACCAAACTAACTCTACAGAGGTTAAACAAACTAACTCTACAGAACCAAACTAACTCTACACAGGTTAACCAAACTAAATCTACACAGGTTAAACAAAACTAACTCTACACAGGTTAACCAAACTAACTCTACAGAGGTTAAACAAACTAACTCTACACAGGTTAACCAAACTAACTCTACAGAGGTTAACCAAACTAACTCTACAGAACCAAACTAACTCTACACAGGTTAACCAAACTAAATCTACACAGGTTAAACAAAACTAACTCTACACAGATTAACCAAACTAACTCCACAGAGGTTAACCAAAACTAACTCTACAGAACCAAACTAACTCTACAGAGGTTAACCAAACTAACTCTACAGAGGTTAAACAAACTAACTCTACAGAGGTTAATCAAACTAACTCTACAGAGGTTAATCAAACTAACTCTACAGAACCAAACTAACTCTACAGAGGTTAACCAAACTAACTCTACACAGGTTAACCAAACTAACTCTACACAGGTTAACCAAACTAACTCTACAGAACCAAACTAACTCTACAGAGGTTAACCAAACTAACTATACAGAGGTTAACCAAACTAACTCTACACAGGTTAACCAAACTAACTCTACAGAGGTTAAACAAACTAACTCTACAGAGGTTAATCAAACTAACTCTACAGAACCAAACTAACTCTACAGAGGTTAACCAAATTAACTCTACACAGGTTAACATAACTAACTCTACACAGGTTAACCAAACTAACTCTACAGAACCAAACTAACTCTACACAGGTTAACCAAACTAACTCTACAGAACCAAACTAACTCTACAGAACCAAACTAACTCTACACAGGTTAACCAAACTAACTCTACAGAACCAAACTAACTCTACAGAACCAAACTAACTCTACACAGGTTAACCAAACTAACTCTACA